CAGGGTGGCTAGTCCTGCCTCCTGACCCTCTGCACAGTAGGGAAACAGACCCGAGTGCAGCTACAGCCTATCCAGAAATCCACAGAAGAAAGGCTGGGTGCGGCTGCCTCTCATCACAAATGCTCGGAGGAGCTCTCTGATTGATTATTGGTGGTAACAATGGCAGCTGTCACTCCCACTGAGACATTATGTCCCAGATATTATTCCAAATCCGACCTACTCCCTGGGCTGCGCCCTCCAGAGAGACCATCCTCCTCCCAAATTTTGTAGCCCCACCTTGCCCTCCACTGCTCTTTCTCTCACCAGCCCCAGGGATGGGCTGAAGGTTTAGGATGAAGACAGCATTAGGAATCCGGGGACGCTCCCTGCCCAGCCCTAACTAAAGTCTGGAGAGGGTGTCAGCTCACATCTGTAACCCCAGAGTCCAGTTTGAAGTCAACCTGGACTACATAAACAAATCTCTCTCTAAGCCTTGGCCTCCCAGTAGAAAAAAGTATTTCTGCATTCCCACTCATGTTCAAGTCTCTGATAAACTGCCCACCTCTGGAGAGCTAACCTCTCACGCCTCATCAGGGTCAGGGTTCAACTTGGGTCCCTATGTCCTTATGCAGCCTTATTGCTCACAAAACTCGCAAATTCTCATATACAGTCACCAACACCTAGGGATAGAGCTGCCCTGAGAGTCCCCACAGCCCACTTCAGCCTTCAGCCTTCACCACAGAGCCACCCTTGAGGACTTCTCGTACCACAGAGCCATCCTGGTGGCCCCTCACCACAGGCTTTGCTGAGGGCTTTTCCATGGGGGCTGTAGCCACCAGGTGACCTGGCCACAGGCCAGCCCCTACCAGCAGTTATAGCACTGCTATGCACCTTTGGAAGGACCAGTTTCCCCAAGAAGAAGCTTCTGTCAGGGATGCCACAACTCCCACACCTCAGACAAAACTGATAGCATAGTGTTCACAGAGACTAAGCTGTGGATGCCGAGGGTGAGCAAGGGACAGTGGGCCCCCTCACTGGCCTCAGGTGTAGCTGCATGGGGAGAAATCACTGTGAACAGCAGAGTGACTTGGTGTGGCCAGGAGTGCAGGGACCCAGTAAGGCAAGATGGGGTGGGGCAGGGCAGGCTCCAGACTAAATCCTTGCTTTTCAGAAAGCAGCTCAGAGCCCCAGGCTTGGAGAATTTTGCAGAGGACTGCTTTTAGATCCCATGGGAGAGCTAGGGGACAGGGCATGGGGCCAGGAGTTCTAGAACTTTCCAACCTGGCAGCTGGGAAATTCTTAGGGCTGGGAAATGTGACAGTCCGGTCTGTATGTGACATGTCTTGTCCATTCAGCCACTTGACCTACAGCTTTTCCTGTTTCCCAGCTGAGGAGGGCTAGGCTGTCTGGAAGGGGGTCGGTCCCTCATGTCACTGTTCATCAGGACCCCACCCTGCTCCTGAGCCCCAGAGCTGGGTTCTGGAGAAGAGGTGGCATGGCCTGGTCTCTGGGGTTTGCAGTATTCCCTGGCACACTGTCTTGATCTCCACCTCTGTGGAGGTAGCTGCCTGTGTCCCTTGCTGGGCACCACTTTGTGACCCTGACCCCAACCCCCACAGAGACTGTGCTTTCAGAAAGCTCACAGTCTTAGTCTAGACAGTCTTGCTTGTCAAGTTTTTCCTGCCTAGTTGGAGCAGCAGTGGCAGCTGAGAGGGGAACTGAGGTTGGGTGGGCAGGAGCCCATGTTCCCCTGTTCCCAGTTGGGGCTCACCTGGGTCAGGTCTGGGCACTCACTGCTCTGTCCACTTGGGAACAAGGGAAGGTAGTGGAACATCCTCACTGCATCACACAGGGAGAAGAGGCCTCCTGGGTCTTTGTGTTTCAGGAAATGGTCTGTCAGGACACTGGAGGTCAGTAGCAAGTTTCTCACCCCTCCCAACATTGTTTTTGTTTTGTTTTGTTTTTTTACCTCCACACTGGGATCTACAGCCCTGCCTCATTTTCTTCAGGTGCCATTATTTGCTGGTCATGTGTTCGTCATCATTCTAGCAGGACACAGGTATGCAGGGGACAAGGGTCTTTGCCCTATTTAGTGGCCACCCCAGGAACAGGGCTTGGTTCACAGTAGGTGCTCAGTGTAGCACCAATCTCGTGATATAGACAAGTATATACTAACCCCAAGGTACCCCTGGTCAGAAAGGAAGCAAGACACCTTAACTGGGGACTATCTCCCATCATCTATGATGTGCCCAGCCAGTAGATTCAAGGGAGTCAGTTCTCTGAAACTAGCTGTGGCCATGGCCCTGCACAGCACCCAAGGCCCATAAAGCCACCTGTGACCAATTTATGTGCTTGGCATGAACTTGTGGGAGACCCATGCCAGGAACGGTGGACTGTCAGGTTGACCTCAGAGTCACAGGTGAGGTTGTGACCACCAAGAGAGGACCAGAGCTTGCCTGAAGTCCTACACCAGTCCCAGGCAAAGCCAGGCTGAGACCAGGGCTCCCAGCCTCTCCAACCAGTTTGTCTTCCGGGAAGCCTTGGCCATGCGCAATGGAGCCAGAAGCAGTCTCTGAGCAGGTGCCCCCCACCCCTTGTCCACCTCCGGCCGTTGTTGTGTAGTGTGCATCCAGAACACAGTTCTGTTTATACCAATATCTACTTTACAGACGGGGAAGCTGAGGCTCCCAGGATAACTTGCCTGGATTTCAGGGCTAGGAGGTGTCAGAATGGGGACTCACTCCCATTCTGGGATCCTTAACTACACATTGGTCTCAGGATCCCTGACCCAGTCTAGGAGGAATCAAGGGTGGAGATGGCCACCTGGTGGTCCAAGCTGGGGAAGCATTGGCAGGGCCTAACATGGGCACTTGGCCAGGAGTCCTTGGGAAGCAGGTGTGGTGTGTGCCAGGGTTTCTTTCAGCACCGCGCACTGGCCCAGCTCTCCTACTGGAAAACTGCCCCAGCGCATTGCCGTCTCTCCTTCCAGTCAGGAATGTTACCACCCAAATAGCCCTCATTGTACAATCTCTGGAAGGTCGCATATGCTGTTTCTTCTGCCTGACTCCCCCAGCCCCTGGCAGAGCTCACACACATGTTTTAGGCCTGGCTTTACTATCCCTTCCCCTCTTGGAGTGTGTCCTCTGTTTTTGGACTTCCTCCAGCACCTGCTCATGGAGGAAGTTCTGGGTCTATGTGTATCCCATCATACTCCCTGGCTTCTGCCTTTCTGCCTCTGTCCCAGGGTGGCTAGTCAGGGCCACTCTCCAAGATCTGCCAAGGCAGCCTGGGTCTCTGGGAAGCTCAAGATGGATGTGGCAGGACAGCTTCCTCTTTGCTCCTGCTCCAGGCTTAATCTGTGTCTGGGTGCCCCTGCTTGGCTAGATGACCTTGGGACTTGGGGTAGCTTTCAGGAGTTAACTGAGGTTGGGCTATCTGCCTGGTGGGTGTCATCCCTAGGAGACACTTCCTGCTGTGGCTTGCAGGGGAGTCAAGGGGCCGGGCTATACAGGACAGCCTCAGGACCCCCCTGCACCAAGAGTGTCAGATGGGCAAGAAGGCTGGAGAAGGTGTGGGGGACCCTCCTGGCTGCCGCACAATTGGGGTGGCTGCTAAGCAGCTGCAGTAGACAGAACATGTGACACAGCCAGGCTGTGTCCCCAGGGCAGTAGCTTCCCCCTGTAGTGGGTTTTGCTGCTCTCACAGGCAATCAGAGCATAAGGGAGGGACCATAGCCCACAGGGCCTTCACATATTGCTATGATCCTTGGTAGGCCTATTGTGGAAAGCCACTGGCCCGAGGTCAAGCCTGGCCTGGGAGCAAGCATCCTTGAAGAGCCACACACAGGCCACACCTTCCTCTGTCCCTTTAGTACAGTAAGTAGCATGTCTCATTCCAGTACTCTAGGAGCAGCCAGGCAACGGAGCAGATCCTGTTGGTAGGCCTGCTGTCCTAAGCCATGTCACCTCTGAGACCTTGACACCCCTTCCTCCCCTAGCACACTATCTGCTGCTTGCTTCCGGCTGCCTCACCCCAAAAGTCCTTCCTTCTCACAGCCACCAGGGGGACCTGCTACAGATGGAACTTTTCCCACTCAAAATCCCTCAATGGCTCTGA